AGCTGTTGTTCAGCATCTTAGCTGTAGAGGGCAGTGTCACTGGCCCTCATATGTGGGATCCGAACCGGGGCCCTCTGGCGTCCCAAGCCAGTTCTCAACCAACGCGCCACTCGGCCGGCCCTGCTTCTTCTCTTCAAACCCTCTCACACTCCACAGAATCCCAAGCAGAGTAATTCATCCTCAAGAATGAGGTATCATGAGACAACATGGATGGACCTAGAGAGTATTATACTAAGTGAAATAAGTCAGACAGAAAGAAAAATACCATATGATTTCATCTATATGTGGACTCTAAAGAACAAAATAAACGAACAAACAAAACTGAAACAGACTCATAGATACAGAGAACAAACTAATGGTTGCCAGATGGGAGGAGGGTTGAGGGGATGGGTGAAAAAGGTGAAGGGATTAAGAAGTATAAATTGTTAGTTACACCTTTGGGTGAAAAAGGTGACGGGATTAAAAAGTATATATTGGGATGTAAAGTACAGCATAGGAAATACAGTCAATAATATTGTAATAACTATGTATAGTGCCAGGTGGATACTAGACTTATCAGGGGGATCACTTCGTAAATTATATAAATGTCTAACCACTATGCTGTACACCTGAAACTTATATAAAATAATATTGAATGTCAACTATAATTGAAAAAAAAAACTGGTTCAACTTGTCAAATGCATTGGGGTGAAGACGTTAATATAACCAACTGGCTATAAATCAGACTTTAACAGGCAATTTTAGGTAACAATACTTTAAATAAAAAAGAATGAGGCACCAGGCTAGAGACATCATTACTGTCATTTGTAAAAGGAAACATGGCGTCAATGATTCCCAACAGCCTCACAAGAGCTGGGTCTGGAATGAGCTCAGCGGCATATCAGTCACGTGAGTATCACGAATGTGAAGCCCTGTGTTTCTCTATGAGACCATGGATCATTTGGATCCCAGCTTCGTGAGGATTAGATGCTACTAGCATACATCAATAAAAATGAGAAAAGCTCTGTGTTGATGGGATGTAAGTGACTAGAAATCAGAACTGTCTTATCTTTCTGTGTATTCACAGAGGACCTAACTGTGTCTGGATCACAGCAGGTGTTCGTTTTCTTCAGGCAATAGGGTGAGTTACTGAAACAGTGAAACTGAAATATAGTCAAAGGAAACTATAGGGTGTCGGAAAAGTCATGATGCGTTTTTGCAATGAAAAACATAGAAAAATACATCACGAATTATCCAACGACCCAATTTCTGCTCAGCTGAGTATTTACTTACTAGTGTGTCAATCTCCTCCAGAATCTTCATAAAATGCTCGATTGTGGCTTTTACTCTCCTATCGAGTTTGCAGAGAGCTTCAGCTTGCAAATCCTTTGCCAGAAAACCCTGTGAAGAAATAATGCTTTCTTGCAAGGGTTTCTTGAAACTGATGAAAAACTCTAAGCCAAGGCACTAATGAAGCAGTCACACCCTGAACCCACATTCCCCCCAAAAGGCCGGGCCAGACTTTATGCCTACAACTTTATCTCTTGGAAAAAAACAGAAATGCTGGCGCTGGGCTATCCCGAGCACTGTAATTGGCCATTCTATCTCATTTGGCCTACTGGGGCTGCAAATGCCTCCTGAGGCCTGGTTCTGGAGAAGCCAGAAGCATATACCTACACACAAGAACACATATGCATACATTAAGAGTATAGGGTTTAGAGTTTGACAGATCTGGGCTTGAATTCTGACTGCCATTTACTTGCTGATGAGATTAAGCAAGTTATTTAACCTATCTGTGCCTCAGTGTCCTCATTTTTAAGGTGGAGATTATGACACCCACACCCCATAGGGTTACTGTGAGTATAAAGGTGAATATATATATAGACCCTTAATAAAATTCCTGACACAGACATACGAGTATGCTAACTAATGGCAGCACTTACATTATTTTTATTAAATTGTCTTGCTGTTTCTTCACATGGCTTGACCAAATAACCAGTTAGCTAATGACAACAGGGGTCTCAGAGGATGTTTATGAAAGCTGAAAGTTACAGATGCAGATCTGACAACATGTAGTAAACATTAGCCAGCAATTCCAACTCCAAGAATTTATTCTACCAGAAATAGTCAAAAAAGATTTATGTCGTTCAAGGAAGCATTACGCAAAATGGTAAAATTATGTTCGGTGATGAACAATAGAGAATTGGTTAGGTAAACCATAATACATTTAAAAATGGCGAAAATGTCATGTAAACTTTGAAAAGTATGATCATTTTTAATGACATAGGAAAATGTTCAATTTTTTTATCTAATGAAAGAAACATTTAATTTACAAAGTGTACATAACATCATACCAATTTTTTTTTTTAAGAATTTTTTTTTTTTTAATTGGGGAATTGTGGGGAGGAGAACAGCGCTGGGGAATTGGGGGAAGGGGAACAGACAAGTTGCTGTCGTTTTGTTCTTCAATCTAGTTGTGGAGGACGTTG